TTTTTGATTCATCTCAAAATAATTTCTAATTTCCCTCTTCATTTCTTCCATGAATGATTATTTAGCAATGTGTTCCCTAATTTCTACATGTTTGTGAATTTCCTAATTTTCCCTCTTTTGTTGATTTGTAATTTCATTGCATACTTCGCATTTTTTTCACTATTATTTCTAGAATAGCAAGATTAATTAAAGAAGAAAACTATGGTCTGGGTTACTCAAAGAGACTCTTGTCCAATTCGTAAAAGACAAAGAGCTGAGGATAGTTAATCATGTTCGTTTGGTCAGTGCAATGATGAGGAAGGTGTCACTGTTCTCAGCCACTGGCCTGGAAGCCCACTTAAGGGTCATAGAGGAAATGGCTCCTGATTGAGAACCCTGGTCACTTTTATTCTTCTGATTGGTAGAGCAAGTTATAAATGTTCCATAAAAATGTGCAATTTCACTAAGATTTCTTTGTTCCCTCATGTTTCCTACAGCACTCTTTCCATTCCTTACTTCAGTTTGTGAAGCATTAAGTATTTCTCTTTTTCCAAGAGCTGCTACTAATTTTGTCAAAAAATCTGTACAAAGAATGAAAGAAAGCCGCCTTAAAGATAATCAAAAGGTAAGTTCTGGCGAAGGTTATATGAATGTGTTCATATTCATTTTGAAGATTTATTGAACTGTGTAAATATGATTTGTGTATTTTCTGCATTTTAAAAAAAGGTATGTGGAGAACTGTAGGGTTTAGAGTAAGAGAATTTTTACATTTCAGGGAATGAAAAATATGAAGACTGGGGAAGGAGTTAATGAATGAGTTACAGATAAGGGTTTAAAATTTAATAATTGTCATGTGTTTATATGTTACTGTATAAATATTGCAGAGGTAAAAAAAATACCATTTCCTTTCTCTTCAATGTATCATCAACTGATAAAAACTACTGTTGAAATATTGATTTACTGGAATTATAATTTCTCCATGTCTTGGTTTATAAACAATCATTTCAGTTCCAAGCCTCAAGTTCTACTTATTATCCAGTGGAAGGCACCTCATGTTAACTAGTGAAATATCACCCATGTTAAATTTCAGCCCTCTCATAGTCTGAAGAGGGCAGGGGTCTTCTCTGGGCATTAAGGCTGGAAGATGGCTGACATAGCTTTTCCTTCAAGGGCCAGACAGAATAAGAATGCAGGCAAGGGAAGCAGGTCGGTGTACCCCAGAGCATCACTGATGATTTTGTAGAGTTTTGAGAAGGTGGGGTATTGAAAGATTCTCACAGAAAGCAGGAGAAGAGTTCTGGAAATGTTA